AGGGGGTTGGAGACCCTCTTGTCACCTCCTCCTGGGGTCTGAGTGGGGGAAATGAACCCTGGGGAGGGTTGAGGGTGATTTGGGGGTTCACTTGCTTGCTGGGTGCATTTGGATCTGAACTGGGGCATTCTGGGACCACCAAACTCCATCCCAACCCCGGGATACTCGGATACACCTCATCTTTGGATAACCACGAGGCCAGCATCCCTCACTTCATTTTTAGGGGGCTGCCCCCCTCAATCTTTAAGAGAAGAAGAGGAGGGAAGGATGAAAGGATGCAGGAGGAGGGCAGGATGCACATCCCTGGTCCCCAGCTGCTGGCTCAGCCCCCCCTCGGGGGTGGGCTCAGCGACGCACGTGTTTGGGGAGGGAGGTGTGGGGACGCGTGTGTACATCGTCTATATATACCACCGTGGCACCGGCACCGGAGGAGTCACAGATCAGAGGAGCCGGCAGCCGACAGCACACCCGCAGGTAGGAAATCCACTTTAATTTCCCAATTTTCCATCAACTGGATTATTATTATTTTTATTATTATTATTTTTAAATCTGAGGATGATCCATTCAGCTTCCATTCCTAGATAAATATTCCCCTTCCTTGCTAAGAGTGAAATATTTTCCCCAGAGAGGAGGGGGAAAAAAAAAAATCCATCCTCTTCTATCCCAAGAAAGGAAAAGTTTCAGCTTCACCATCCAGTCCCTAAAATCAGAGCTGGTGGAGGGATGCAACGAGAGTCGACACGGGCCTCTCACCCACGGGGTGACGGTGGATTCCTCCAGGATGGGGGAGATATTTTGTTTTTTAAAGGATTATTTTTTTTTCCAGGAGCTCTCACACCACCACTTTCCCCATTCAATATTTCTCCCCCTTTTTTTCTTCCAGCCAAGACTTCACCAGTATCACCACGGGATGCTCCGGGAGATACCCCCAGCTTGTGAGCAATCCCCTTTTTTTCCCTCTGAAAAAGCAGAAAAAGGCAGAAAATATTTTTTTTCTTGCTTTGATTTTTTTTTTAATCCCCCCTAAAAAGCAGGAATAAATGGCTGCGATGGAGAAATATGGGGAGAAATATTTTTTCAAGAGCTTTTTTACCTCCAAACAGCTTTTCTCCATCCCACATCTGTGTTTATAGTCGTGCCGCCGCGTCTAATTTTGTCCAATTATGACCAATTACCTGATAGAGGGGAATCGACAAAAGGAAATGGGTATTTTTCCAGCGAGAACTCGGCATATATAGCCCCCCCCCACTCCTCAAATTCCTCAATTTCTCCTTCAAATCCCCCCCAAATTGGTTTGGGGGAACTGGGGAAGCGTTTTCACCGTGCCAGTGGGGGACACTGTTGGATAATATTTTGGGTTTTTGAGTGGAAAATGCTTTTGACTCCTTCCACGCTGGCTCCCAGCGGGGTCACATCCTGCCCGCTCACATCTTCCTACCCTCTGGATCAGGCCTTGGCTTTGGGAAATGTGGGAATTAATAAGGAATAAATGAATTAGGGTTGGATGTGGGAAGGGAGGAGATCCGAAATGTGCTTCTGCACGTGGTGGGGATGGATCCTGACTCGGAGCATCGCTGAGTTTAAATCCTTGCGAAGGGTTTTTTAGGATGATCCTGCTGTTGGGATAATCCGTTCTCATGTCCTAGAGGGAGAAAAAAGGCTGGAGAATCCTTTGGGAAAAGCAGGGAGCATTTCCCCAGCGTTATCCATGAGCTCTCAACCCAAATCGTATCAAATCAAGCGAATAAAAACCCATCTCAGGCAGCACCTGCTTCCCCTTCCACCTCTTCTCCTCCGGTTATTCGCGCTCCATCCTTCCCGCTGCCCCCGGAATCAACCCTGCTTCTCCCACATCATCCCACCCAGAGCAAGAATAAAACCCCCTTGTCCCGATGGATAATTAAATCCCAGCGTTATCCAAATCACAGGCTGGATTTTGGGAAAAAACTCCTATTTTTTGCCCCAAAATATTAATGAGGATAATTTAACGGGATGGAAAACTCCGAAGGATGCTGGAGCATCCCTGGGGCAGCAGTGGGGGGATCCTAAAGGTGTTTTATGGGATGGGGTGGTTGTATCCTGCCATTCCCTCTGGGATGGGTAGGTTTAGTTTTCAGGGAATAAGAGGAAGGTTGATGTCCAGGAGAAGCTCCGGTGTCCGAGGAGCCGTGGGGGTGGCTGTGGTGTGACGTCGGGGCTGTCACATCCTTCGCCGTGGTCCGTGGGTGTGAGGGCAGCAGGGATGGTCGGTGGGTTTCTTGGGAAATAGGGTCTAGGTTTGGTTTTTCCAAAGGGAAAAATAGGGGAAAAAATGAAATAAATAGGAAAAAAAGAGAGAGAAATGGGGAAAATGGGGGAAAAATGAAATAAATGGGAAAAAAGAGAGAAAAATGGGGGAAAAAGTGAAATAAATGGGAAAAAAGAGAGAAAAATGGGGAAAATGGGAGAAAAAAAATGAAATAAATGGGAAAGAAAGAGAGAAAAACGGGAGAAATGGGGGGAAAATGAAATAAATGGGAAAAAGAGAGAAAAATGGGGAAAATGGGAGAAAAATGAAATAAATGGGAAAAAAGAGAGAAAAATGGGGGAAAAAGTGAAATAAATGGGAAAAAAGAGAGAAAAATGGGGAAAATGGGAGAAAAAAAATGAAATAAATGGGAAAGAAAGAGAGAAAAACGGGAGAAATGGGGGGAAAATGAAATAAATGGGAACAAAAAGAGAGAAAAATGGGGAAAAAAGAGGGGGGAATGGAAAAAGAAAGGGGAAAAATGAGGGAAAAAAGGAGAAAAAAATAGGGGAAATGTGAGGAAAATAGGGAAAAAATGAGGGAAAATGGAAAAAATGTGAGAAAATGGGGAAAAATGGGGAAAAAATAGGAGGGAATGGAAAAAGAAAGGGGAAAAATGGGGGGAAAAGGAGAAAAAAATGGGGGAAATGTGGGGAAAATAGGGGAAAAATGAGAGAAAATGGAAAAAATGTGGAAAAAATGTGGAAAAATGTGGGAAAATGTGGGGAAAATAGGGAAAAAAGGGAAAAAATTGGGGAAAAAGGGAAAAAAATGGGAAAAAAATGAAAAAATGGGGGGAAATAGGGGAAAGGGGGAAAAAATGTTGAAAAAAAAGGGGAAAAAAGGAATATTTTTTGGGAAAAAAAGGGCATCTCTCTTTTTCCTGTGGCTCTGGGGCTGTGAAACTCAGAGAAGAGCCTCGTGCGGTCCCTGCCCCACAGCCCTGCCACCCCCCCGAGCCCCAAACACCCAGGGGCAGAAGGAAGAAATAAATCCACCACGCTGGGTCCGTCCCTTTTAACGGGTGGATTTAAGGGTTTGGGGTCCCCCATGCACAAAGGGGGGGTCGTTCCCCTCTCTCCCACCCCTGGCCAGGACCCACATCCCACCCGCCCGATAACATCTTTCAATTAACGGGGAAGAAAAGCTGATCCGTCATCCCAGAACCTCCTCCTGCAGCCAGATGGGATCTGCTTTGTCCCAGGATATTGGACTTGATGTCTCTTGGGGACATGGGGACTGGGTTGGGGGGGTGGGTTGTAACCCCGTCCCCACCTTGGCTGAACCTCATTTTGGGGTTGGAATGATTTGTTTTCCTGGGGAGCTTTCTGCTGAGCCTCTGACTCGCGCCGCCAGCCGGTTTTAATGAGACTCCATGAAGATGAAACCTTAATTCCTGCTCCTTATCAGCTTCCCCTTGTACCCACCACCAAATGACAACTGGGAACCACCAAGCTCTGTGTCACCACCCGGCTGGCAGGGATGAAAGGTGACTGTGATGTTGGTTGGGGACCCCATTGGATGTTCTACCTCTGTTGCAAGGAGTGAGGTGTCCCCTCATCCCCAAATAAATAGGGACCCCCTGTCCAGGTGGTCAATGACCCCTGCAAAAGCACCCTGAGATGCTGCTGGAGCAACACACAGGTTGCAAAGCCACCATCACCGAGGTCTTCCTCACCTCCGAGCATCATGGAATGGGGTTTCTGGGTGCTGCTCCAGCATAGAGAGACCTCAGTGCTACCAAGGGTTGCACCAACCTCCACATCCCCATCCTGCTCCTCTCCATCATGTTCATCTCATCCCCTCACTGGCTTATAAACCTGATGTCATGCAGCCCCAGGACCCACTCCCAAGGACCACAGGGATGTCAGATCCCTTCTCCTGTTGGGATGAGGGTGAGGAGTGGATCAGGAGAACCAACCCTCTTGTTTGCAGTTGGCCATGGGGATGCAGGAATTGTGGCTGCTCCTCCCTGGAAGTGTTGAAGGCCAGGTTGGATGAGGCTTTGAGCAACCTGGTCTAGTGGAAGGTGTCCCTGCTGCTGGCAGGGGGGTTGGAACTGGATGAGCTTGAAGGTCCCTTCCAACCCAAACCAGGCTGGGATTCTATGATTAATTGGGAAGGACGCGCACGGCCTTGGTCATGTCACTTAGTCACCACTTGTCACTGATGTTGGCAAAGCCAGATGGGACATGGGGGGCTCTTTGGGAATTGGCTTCGCTGCTCCACACCAGGTGGGCTCAGATCCCGGCAATCCCTGCTGGCAGCGATGGCTGAACCCTCTCTAGATAAAGACATCACCCCAGAAACAACCAAGGGAGGGAAATTGGAGTGGGACAGCCTCGCCCGGCTGCGGTGATGGTCGGATAAGGAACATCCTGCTCAGGGGACAGCTGGGGACGTGCTGCCCCACCACGTCCACCTGCTAAAATAAGCCCTGACCGGGCCTGGTGCCATCAGATAGGCTGGAAAAAAATAATCTGGGACACGTTGGATCTCTCTGGGGTTGGGGAGGCACCTGGGCTCCTTTCCCAAAGGGATAATTTTGGCAGCGAGACGGGGAACACACGGATCTGGGGGGGGGATTGAGGGGGGACGGGCTGAGAACGGGCACATCTCGGTGCAGGACTCGGTGGTGTCGGTGTTGTCCCAACGTGACGGGTTTTTTTGGGGTTGAGTTGGGTTTTTTTTGGTAGGTGCTGCTGGTGTCACCATGAGGGCTGTGATCTGGGACCTGCTGCTGCTCTGTCTCTTCGCCCGGGTGCGGGGTGACTGTCGGGGGGACTGTCTCCACTGTGACCGCCAGCTCTACCGGGACAGCTTCGATGTCTTGGTAAGTCCCTCTGCCTGCTGGCTTTGTCCCCCACCATGAGTTATGTCAACCCCAAACTGGGTGGGCACCCTCCTCCCTGCACCAGGGTTGGGTTTTGGGGTCATTGAGGGGCTTTGGCTGATGGTTGATGTGGAGGTTTAAGGGTAAGATGTCACCTGCTGTCACTGTCCCTCCTCCTTGGGCACCGCCCCCCACAGATACCATCAGAGAAGATGGTCCCAAGGGAGGGTGTAGACCTCAAATCAGCTGCTGGGAGTGATGGGGACAAGGCTGTGATGACCCAAGAATCACAGAATCACAGACTGGTGGGGTTGGAAGGGACCTCAAGAGATCATCCAGTCCAACCCCCCTGACAAAGCAGGTTCACCTTGAGCAGGTTGCACAGCAAAGTGTCCAGGTGGGTTTGAACATCTCCAGAGATGGAGACTCCACACCCTCTCTGGGCAGCCTGTCCCAGGGCTCTGGCACCCAAGAAGGGTCCCAAGACCTTGAGCACCTCCAGCTTCCCTGTCCCCATGGCTTGCAGCATTGCTGTCCCCATCTATGCCAACCCCAGACCCCCCCAGATCCCCACCCCATCCTCCAAGGAACCACCAAAATCCCTCTCTGAGCCCCACCAGGATGAGTTTGAGATCTTCACCTGAAAGGAGCCAGCAGCTTGGGAAGCCCCCAGGGCTGAGAAATGTCTTCCTAAAACCAAGGAGGACCAGTGACTTCCAGGGCAGCATGGAGATGCTGGAGCCACCCCAGTGTCACCCACTTGCTGGCAAAACCTCCTGCCCACCAATCTCCCTGGTTTTGCCCCAAAATGCTGTTTTGGAGTCTGAAGGCACCAGCGTTTCTGCAGGGACCTGCTCGGTTCTACTTCTGGAGATGCATTTTGCTTTGTCTTCCCTGGCCAGCAAGATGGAGAGGAGGTGGGATGGTTGGTGGCTCATGGGTCCTGTGCAGAGTTGTATCTCAAAGCAAGAGTAGTTTGAACCAGGAGCAGAGGAACCCAGGTGCTTGGTTTCATCTGGAAGAAGCATCGTGGTGGGATTTGGTACAACCCTCCACCACTCCCACAGCAACGGCCAAGGAAGTCCCATCAGTGACGTGGCTGATCCATCAGAAGGATCCACCATCCTTCTTCAGAGGTAGGAACAGAAGATCCCCCTGAAGTTACAGACATGCCTGCACCATCATCGCAGCTGCCAGGGCAGGACAGGGACCAGCTGATGGAGCTGGTCTTCAAGATGTGGATGAATCACCTACATCCTGGTCCCAGAGTCATCTAGGGACAGTGCAAACCCATGGTGCCACCAATAATGCCAACTGAAGATCAGAAGGAGCTTCCTCAGGTGGTTTCAGCACTGGATGTGGAGGAGCATTGGCTGGTGTTTGCTGAGGACTCCCGAAACACAGTGAGCAGAAGCCATCTCCATGTGAATTCAGACCACAGCAGGATGGCTGAGGACCCTGGAATGTTCTTGGTGCTCCTTTTGTGGATGGGTGATAGGACCACTGATGGTCTTCAGCCTGACAGTTGGGTTAATTCCTCTTGAAGCCTGTTAGCTGGTGCTCATCAGAGCTGTTACTTGCATGTGATCCACCACCTTTCATCTCCAGCGTGGTCCACTGCCAGGAGACTGTCCATCAGCTGCACACCTTACCAAATCCTTGGAGATCCCAGGACAGGATGTTGGCTCAGTGCAGGATGCCTTTGGTGTCTCCACAAGGACCCTCATAGGTGCCCCAGCCTACAAGACCCTTGTCACCACCTCACTTTGGGACAACAGTTTTTCCTTTTGTCTTTTTTTTGGTCTGAAGAACCTGGCTGCCCTCTGGGATGGAAATAAATGGGCCACGTGCTTGGGCTACAGCCCTGAGCTACCACGTTGGGACTGGTAGCACCTCCTACTTGGCAAAGTTAATGAACCCACCATGAAGAGAGTCTTGGTGAGGGTTTTGGCCTTGCAGATGGGCTGTAGCAATGAGACATGTCAATGTGAGGCCCCTTGGTGTTAAGCATTGAGAAGATCCCACCATGAACCTTACTTGGTGTTAAGCATTGAGAAGATCCCACCATGAACCTTACTTGGTGTTAAGCATTCAGAAGATCCCACCATGAAGCTAACACTGGGATGGAGACACTTCAGCATGAGGAAAGACAACTCTTTCCTTTCTGGGCCTTCCAGTCCTGGTTTCTTTGGGTAATTTTTTGGTTCTTCTACAATTTTCTCCTGGATGGTTTCCCTTGGGTGCTACTTTTGGTGGTACTGGATCATTTGGGGCTATCAGACCTCAGTGGTACCAGGTCTATGTTCTACCTTGGTGGATGAAGCCTCTTGGAAGAAGAGATGAGACACAAATGTGGTGGGATGTGCACATGGGTGCCGAGGAAGCCTGATGGCACCTCTTGATGAGGCTGCTCTTGATGGTCTTTCAAGGGATGTGGTGATGGAGGTGGGTTCCTGTGGGCTGGGAGGAGGCAGGTACCACATCTGCTCTTTAAGGAAGGCATGAAGGAGGATCTGGGAAGCTATGGGCTGGTCAGCCTCACCTCAATCCTTGGGGAGGTGGTGGAGCACATCATCCTGCAAAGCATTTCCAAACGTATGAAGGACAAGAAGGTCCTGGGGAGCGGCCAGCGTGGATTTATGAAGGTGAAGTCATGCTTGACCAACTTGGTCGCTTTCTGCAGTGAGACAACCAGCTTGTCTTGACTTTCATCAGGCTTTGATGTCATCGTGTTCCATGACATCCTTGTGGACAAGCTGCTGAAGCACAGGGTGGATAAATGGGCAGTGTGACATGGACTGAAACCTGGGGGGACCTTGACATCTTCATTAAGGACCAGGATGATGTGGCAGATGCACCCTCAGCAATCAGTTGGTGGTGCAGAGCTGGGAGGTATGGATGGTAGACAGCAGGGTCGTGCTGCCACCCAGAGGAACCTCACCAGGCTGGAGAAATGGGCTGGTAGGAACCTCATGAAGTTCAACAAGAAGAACAAAGTCCTGCCTCCAGGGGAGGAACAACCTTCAGGCACCAGGACATGCCATGGGGACACATCAGAGGTCCCTTCCCACCTCTGTTGTCCTGGGACTGATTTTTTTGGGGATCACGCCTGGCTGAAGGACCCAGCAGTGGGGAGGGATGGGGTGGTGGGATGGGAGCATGGATGTCAACAGGGAATTGTGGAGCATGTCCAGCATGGAGCAAGGCCTGTCTAGAGAAGGTTGGGAGAGGGATTGTTGAGCAGCTGCCATGGCTCCCCAGCATCTCCACCACCACCACTTCGGGGAGCCCAGGAAGAGGTTCTGGGAGGGGACACCTCCCCAGATGAGGCCAGGTAATGGTTGATGAGCTGCCGGCACCTTTCCGTGGGTGTCTTCCAACGTGTTGCATCACTGGATGGGTTGGAAGCAGGGAGATCACAAGAAGGGTGGGGGTTGGAAGGGACCTCAGGAGATCATCCAGTCCAACCCCCCTGACAAAGCAGGTTCACCTTGAGCAGGTTGCACAGGAAAGTGTCCAGGTGGGTTTGGAACATCTCCAGAGATGTTCATAGAGATGTTCTCCAGAGATGGAGACTCCACGCCCTCTCTGGGCAGCCTGTCCCAGCTCTCTATTCCAGCTTCCTTGAGCCCACTATTTGGGCTCCACCACTGAGTGTTACCTGATGTCCCACAGCCTTGATAGGACCCAAACCCACCTGACACCCATCCCCATTGTCTCCCACGTAGATCTGCATCCTGGAGTGTGAAGGCGAAGCCGTTCCACGGGCCACCTGGGAGCTGTGTGCCGCCGCCGCCGCCGGCCGAGCCGCCCCACGGCCCCGTGACCTCCAGGACACGGATGATCCCTGGCACGAAGCGGCGATGAACCGTCTGGAGGTCAACGAGATGCTGCGACGCCGAGAAAGCGAAGACGAAGGGGTTGAAGAAGCACCACCAGTGGTCACCTTCCAGCAAGCAGCAGAGGACATTTCCCGAGGATACGGTGGTTTCCCAAGAGGGACGCGCGGGTCGTGGGCCGGCGCCGATGGCCAAGGGGGTGCAGAAGAGATACGGGGGCTTCATCGGGGTCCGTAAATCGGCGAGGAAGTGGAACAACCAGAAGAGGTTTAGCGAGTTCCTGAAGCAGTACCTGGGCATGTCACCCCGTTCCAGTGAGTACGGCATCGCCGGCGGCGAACGCAACGAGATCTAAACCGGAGAGTCGGCGCCGCACGGCCGCGTCCGCCATGGCCAAAAAAGTCAACCCTCAACCCCCTTCCCAACGCGTGTCCACGGGGGGCACATTAAAAACTAAAATCCAACAAAAACCAACAAAAGAACCCAAAAAAAAAGGGTTAAAAAACCCAAAAAACAATGAAACAACCAAAAAAAAAAGGGTCAAACAATTGGAAATGGTGTGAAAATGGTGAATTGGAGATTGGGGAGGTTGGTTGGTTGGTTGGTTGGTTGGTTGGTTGGTTGGTTGGTGGTGGTGTCGCGGCGTCTGGAAGGTGATTGGGGAAAGGATGGGTCAGTGTCCCAAAAAGTAGGAGGAAAAATGAAATAGTATTTTGTTTTTTTAATGAAAAAAAAATTGAAATTAAAGAAATGGAAAAAATTTTAAAATTTTAAGAGGTGAAAAATTTTTGAAATTTAAAGAAAACGAAAAACTTTTAAAATTTTAAGAGGTGAAAAACTTTTAAAATTTACAAAAATGAAAAACTTAAAATTTTAAAGAGGTGAAAAACTTCTAAAATTAAAAAAAATGAAAAACTTTTAAAATTTTAAGCAATGAAAGACTTAAAATTTTGAAAAATGAAAAGACTTTTCAAATTTTAAGAGATGAAAAACTTTCAAAATTTAAAAAAAATGAAAAACTTTTGAAATTTTTTAAAAAATGAAAAATCCTTTTAAAATTTTAAGGAATGAAAGACTTAAAATTAAAACAAAATGAAAAAACTTTTAAATTTTTAAGAAAGACGCTTAAAATTTTGACAAATGAAAAAACGTAAAAATTTAAGAAATTAAAAACTTTTAAAACTTTAAAAAATAATTTTAAAAAATTAAGAAATGAAAACCTTTTAAAATTTTGAAAAATGAAAAAACTTTTAAAATTTTAAGAGATGAAAAACTTTTCAAAATTAAAAAATGGAAAAAATACAATTTTTTAAAAAAATCAAAATTAAATGTTTAAAATTTCAATTCAATTCAATTAAAATGAATAAAAATGAAACAAAATTGCATTTAACTAAATAAAAATGAATCAAAATTAATTTTTTTCAAAAAATCAAATAAATTAAAATAAGTTAAAAAAGAAACAAAATTAAATAAACAAAATAATTAAAAAATAAACAAAAATAAATTAAAATGAAACAAAAAGAGATTTAAATAAAAATGAAACAAAACCAAATTAAAAGAAATAAAAAAATCAAATACATTAAATTTAAATAAATAAAAATTAAAGAAAATTAAATTTAAATACATCAAAATTAAAGAAAATTAAATTTAAATACATCAAAATTAAAGAAAATTAAATTTAAATACACCAAAATGAAACAAAATAAAATATAATAATTTAAAATAAAGCCAAACCTTTTCCTTCTAGAAATTAAAGAATTCCTCCCCAAGCTCCAGCTCTCCATTGCCGCTCCCTGGGGACCCGTGTGTGTGTCCCCCCCGTGTCACCGGCCCCACGCCGGGATGCTCGGAGCCCCCAGCCCCTTTACCCCGCAGCTGCCGTCACCACCCATCCCCAAACCCCCCAAATTTTGAATTTGGGAGAATTTTAATATTTTTCCTTTTTTTTTTTTAAGTTCTTTTTTCCTTTTTCCCCCCCTTTGGGTGCCGCTCCCTGGGGACCCGTGTGTGTGTCCCCCCCGTGTCACCGGCCCCACGCCGGGATGCTCGGAGCCCCCAGCCCCTTTACCCCGCAGCTGCCGTCACCACCCATCCCCAAACCCCCCAAATTTTGAATTTGGGAGAATTTTAATATTTTTCCTTTTTTTTTTTTAAGTTCTTTTTTCCTTTTTCCCCCCCTTTGGGTGCCATACTTTTTTTTGTTTATTTCCCTTTTTTTTCTGTTTTTAATTTCTTTTTTTTCTCTTTTATTTTTTTTTTTTTTCCTTTCTTTTCTATATTTTTTTTTTTCCTATTTTTTTTTTTTTTTTTTTGTTTTATTTTTTTTTTTCCTTTCTTTTCTATATTTTTTTTTTTCCTATTTTTTTTTTTTATTTTTATTTTTAATTTGTTTTTATAGCGTTCCGGCATCGCATCCCAGCACCTTCCACCAGGCACAGGCAAAATTAAACCCTGCTCCCTGGGTCCACCCCAGCAACCTCCATCCTCTCTCTGCCGGATCCCAAAGCGCTTCAGAAATCATTTCCTTCTTCAATCCCTAAAACCAGATTTAAACCAAGACCCGAGGAATTTCCAGCCGCCGATGGAAGCGAGATGCCGAAGGGGAAAAGGGGTGGAGAGGACCATTTTGGGGGGGAAAAGTGGAAATTTAAACAAAATAAAGGGAATAAAAGGGATTTTGGAGACAAAAAAATGGGATTTTGGCTAAAAAATAGTGGATTTTGGGGGTGTTTTTTGGTTGTTTGGGGGGTTTTTTTGAGGGGTTGGCGATTGTGAACGTTGGATCCAGCGGAAAATCAGCTCTCATCCCATATTCCCAGTGTCCCAGCTGGGGTGTGCAGCATCCCATGGGATTCAATTCCAACTTCTGCTGAAGGAATCACATCCCACCGTAACTCCACGACGCGACGGCCACCACGATAGAGACCAAATCCCACCTCAACGCCCAGAAACCACCTGGAAATATTGAATTTTTCTTTTTTTCCCTGTTTTTTTCTATTTATTTTCCTTTTTTTTAATTATTTTTTTCCAAGTATTTTCCTTAAAATTCCTTAAAATACCCCCAGGGTTGACTTCTTTGCTCAGCAATACAAACCACACGTGTGTTTTTGGTTGCATCCCCCCACACCCCCCCCCTGGCATGCATCACCTCCCACTCCTCACACCAAGGATGGATATTTTTTTCCCATGTCATTCCCAAGAAAATAATCAAAATTTTGATTGATTTTTCCTGCTTAATTCGCTACCCCCTCAAAAAAATATAACCTGGAAGGGATTTTACCCACCCCGCCCCGGGGAAAGGTCTCACCCTGCTTCATCATTTGTAAAAAAAATAATAATAAATAAAATAATAAAATATAATAATTTCCCTATGGAAAAAAAAAATAGGCAAAAAAAAAAATATTCCGAGATTTTTGTTCTTTTTAATTGTTTCATATAAAAAATTTCTCCATTAAACTTGTACATAGCAAAAGGATTAATAAATTAGTTTACTGTTTCTACGATATTATTGCGACTGGCGACCGTCACTTGGGTCAATGCTGGAAGAGGGGGGGGGGGGCCTCGTTGCCCCCCCCCCCACC